ATACATACATACATACATACATACATACATACATACATACATACATACATAAAAGGCTAGCTTAATGCAGAGGTCCCCAACCCATGGGTCACTACTAGGCTGTGCCCCTTTTGGAACCAGGCTGCGCAAGCAGCAGGGGAGCATGCATGCACGCGCAGCTCCACTCATGAGTGGCAGGTGCTTGCATTTACATATGCAGCTCTACCTGTGGGAGCAGCAGACACTTGTGCAGATGGAACTGTGCGCACATGCCTGCTACGCAGAACTATCCTCACGCAAAAGACGGCCAAGCCAGAAAGGTTGGGGACCACTGATCTAATGTATCAACTATTGTCCACTATGTTTATAAATATTGCCTTAAACTTACATTTATTTAGGTTGAAATTCTTGATAACACAATAAATATTACACAGACATCCTCTGAAAACTATGCTCTTTTTTTTTTTAATTAAAGTTTTATTTGGGTCTTCACACACACAAAAAACATAATACAAGTAAAACATCCTTTTTGAAAATAGCATGGTCCCGGGTTACACTTCTTTATACATTCACAAACTCAATGTCATGCTCATTTTTGTGTTCTATTCCATATCTTATAACTATTTTGCATTTTCTATATAGTTTTTCCCCTCTTTTAGTTTTCTCAATTTTATTTTGATTATCTCATCTCAATTCAAATCATTATATTTATACTTTTGTCTGTCCTGTTTCAATTTTATATTATCTTTTCTCATTAAACAAATTTTCTCCTGCAGTTACTAATTAGAGTATGACACCTTTATATCTTTTAATTTTATCCATTGAACTCTTATTTAAACTTCGATATATACCTTAAGGTTGTAACATTCAATATAATACATAATACATAACTTCCAATCGAATTCTGCTTGGTACGTTCTTATAATACACACTATATTCTTTAAAAAAGGATTATAAATGTATGTAATTAAACTCTCATTCCATTCCAATTCAGTTCTATCATTAAAATTCATTAAAGTCTTAACATCTTTAACATTTCTTTTCAATTAAATGTCATACTTCCTTGAAGTTCTTCTTTCTGTTCTTCTACAGAAACCCTGGGAATTGATGACTTAAGCAATAATTTCTTCATCATGAGGCAAATTAAACTTTGTAATAATTATTTAGGTTATGAATTTTAAATGCGATTGGGTATAAAATTGATGCTTTAATTGAACATGGAATATTGATTTACTGTCTCTATCAAAATATATACAGATTCAGTTTTCATATAGAAGTTTGAGATATCTTCCAGATGTCACCCTGATGGATAATGCAACAATTTGGGAAGAAAAATAAAAAACCTCCTGTTTTCAATATGCGTGATCTTGAATAGATAGGTAGAGCCCAGGAAAGCAACCTTTGTATAAACAGAATTTACACAAGGAATTTATATTTGTCTCACCTTTTCCCCATAGTTGGTAATATCATTGAAAAGAAGAAGGGGAGCTTTCTTCCAGTACTTTTAGCTTAGGAACCAGGTTATTAAACTGTGCACAGTTTGTTTAAAGTAAAGAGGAAATGCAAATGTATGAGGAAATAATTTAGGTAGACTTCGTGGGGGAATATTAAGCAACTTTCAGTTTTGAACAAGAGCCCTACTTCCTCAAAACACACTACATTTTGTAGCATATTCTGAATACAGATTTGCAAATAATTCAGCAGATAAATCAGCAGACTTGGACATTTTGGTGGCTAAGAAATAGAGTATTAAAGAAAGATGAGAAAGTTGCACAAAATCTGGAACGGTGGCTGTCTGAACTGTTGTCATTGTAGAACTTGTTGACAGAATAACTTTAAATAATATACTGAAAGAAATCTGAAGAGCTGAGGTAGTTAGAAATTACATAACTGAGTGTCTGTTGCAAAGAACTGAAAGCAAAAGTATCTAAATCATCTAAAACATTCAGACCTTCATTTTGGCTGAATAGATCTTCCTCCAAACACCTTATCTATTAAGCCGTACAGGGGGGTACACCCTGTATAAATGATCCTTCAATTTCAGAAACATCTGTACCTTGAGGCTCCACAAATAGTTTTCATTCTAGTTCTTGCTGATAAAAAACAATTAGAAACTTCAGATGTTAGTCCCAAGTATGCTCAACGCAAATGTAAAACCAATGAGATTCTTACAGAAGTAACATATTCTTAAATAACTCTGGAATATACTTAAAGATAACCAATACTTGATAGTAAATTTTGTCAGAGGTTTTTCAGAAGAGAATTAGTTAAATGTAGGGAATGTTGGAAATTACGATCATGTGATTGCAAGAATGCTGGAATGGCCACAATTTTAAGAATAAAACTGGTCTGGACATTATGGAAATTTCAATTCTTCAGGACTAATAGATCCAAAAATTTTTATGCATTCTTTCAGTTAGCATTTTCTAGATATCTTGATTCAAAAATTGTAGAAACATGAGAGTTTTAGTAACATAAAGATAGATATTGCAGTGAGGTGCTACTATCCTGGTTCTTCATTTCATTTACATGTGAGGGAGTAAGAATCCATCCACTTCCCTGCAACACTCTTTAAGATGAAAAAAAATACAAAAGAAACAAATCAAGCTGAATATGCAATTAATAAAAAAGGGAAAGATAACCTACTTTATATTACAGTATATACTTATTAATAATCGCTAGTTTATTAATATTATGGTAATTACTATAATATAAATAGTACAAATATTATTTTAAATTATCACAAAATCTTTGTCAAAGTTATGCATATTTCTCTATTGCGAGAATTGTACAGTATTGCCATTGCCTTATAAAGGCATGAACATGATATATGGGTTTGCTTTTAACTAAATTGATTTCCGTTGTGGTCATAAACATGAAGAGGTTATGAGCACCCCTCATTTCGTATCTCTTTTGTATGTTTTAAGCAAAAAAACCCTCTAATATTCTTGTTTAAACAGTAATATGTACATTTGTTTTGTATATTACATTTGGTAGTATTTTTTCAAAGTTTTATAAAGTTTATTATAGATAAAATACAAATATAAAAAATAAAAAAGGTAAAAGGTGCAAAGGCCGAAAGAGAAAGAAAAAAAGTAGTGACTTCCAGCTTTTTTCAGTGCAGTTACAAGAAAAATTATAAACTCAAATCTTTTTACATTTCTAATTATTTCACACCATTTCATAACAACATTGTCAATTTAGACAAAATCCAAAATTAGAGGTTTCATTTTTTTCTGTTTTGAGAATTAAGCCCAGAAGTGGTTTCCAAGTGGAAACAAAACAAGATAAATTCTTCTCTTTAATTTAGACAGTCAGTTTTGAAATCTCTACCAGGTCTATCACTTTTAGCATACATTCTTCCATTGTGGGAATTGATGTGTTTTTCTTTCTCTGTGTATACAGAATTTTTTGCTGCAGTCAACCTTTAAAATATTTGTCTTGTGTATTACATTTGGTAGCATTAAAGAATTTAAAAGTTGTATTAAAAGTTTTGCATATCAATAGTTTACTGGAATATTGGAAAAGTTTCACATTATTGTTATTTTGTGTTCATTCATTTGACATTCATTACAAAGAAACAACTGCTTTAGGTAGTATATTTGGGAGGCAGCTTATAATTATGAGTCATATTAGTTTTAGGGGGGGAAAGTAAGCCTCCCATCTTTGGTTGCAGTGGTACTGTTAGTACTGTATTGGATAGAAATATCATTCGGAGGTATTTCAGGCAGTTCATTTCTGAAAGATGATTATGTTCTTCACTTCCCAGAGTATTATGTCTAAATTGTGTTATGGCTGCTGCAGGTTTTTTGCGTTTAAGTTGATAATCAAACTTCTATAACAATTGTATAGTAGAATTAAGGTATATATACATTTCTTCCTTAAAAGTAAATCCAATTCTTTTAATACAGTTCAGTTTTTTAAAAACGCTATTCTTATTTCCTCTACAAATTAGGTTGAAAACTATATCATTTGTTTTCATTTCAGGTGCGCATAGCAGCAAAATTCATTATCCATGCTCCACCAGGAGAATTCAATGAGGTTTTTAACGGTGAGCAGGCCATACGTTGATTTTCATTTCAGATAGCCTATTTAACAGTGCAGCATCCCTTTTTCAAATAGAAATGCCCTGTTTCAGATTTTGGTCATCTCAAATTTGAAGCATCTTGTTTGGGAGTCCAAAGCTGCTGTTCCAAACTTCCCGGATGCTTGAAATGCTCATTTGGAGCACAACTGTTTTAAAATCAAGATTTTGTAAATCTTGTCTTAATAAAATTAATAATTTTTATATAGGTACCTTAGTGTTTTAATATGATAGTATCTTGCAAGTAATGCAAGTAATACTTTTTGTCATAGATTTCCCTATTACTGAAATTGATGCAATTCTTATTGATATTATCTTATGCCAAAATGAAGATTTGATTTTGTCAAGCATGAACCAGGACTTTGAATGTGAAATAGTTTAAATTAAAAGCATTTTGTACACATCTGCTTTTGAGTTACATTGCAAAATTTCTGTTTAACTAAAGGTAATGTATGTGTGATTGACTATTTTTAAAAATTTCTGTATTACTGTTAGGTCTAAAAAGAACATGTTTTGAATATAAGCTTAAAATAAGATAAGTTAGAAATATTCTATTTAAAATACAGTATAATTGTGTCCTCCCCCATGTCATGTTCTTTGTTACAGTGGGAGATTAAGCTGTGGAATTGATAATTGGTTCAAGCTCTAATTAAAAGACCTGCATATCCCTTTTATGAAGAGTTTGGGGGGATTTGAGAAAATGATATAAAATGAGACTTTAAAAAAAAGAATTACGGAACGATTAGCCATTAGTTGCTGAAGAGGGATTAACAAATAGAATAGGCTTAGCATAATTTCTAGAGACACCAGTTGACTTAAAATTGAAACTGACAATAATCAAGGCATTTTAAAATTGAAACTGGCAATAATCAAGGCATTTTAAAATGGCACCAGTCTTGAGAAAGACAATCTCAGAGCGATTCTCTTGCCTCAAATCCTGCACTTGCTTGAGGGTTTTACTCATTATTTTGTCTCCATTTTTTCTTCCCGTGAAACTTATGAATTAAAGAAGCATATGGCTGTTATTGGTGTTCTCTTATAGTTTTTGAAGTTTTGGTTGTGCTTTTAGAGTTAGTGACCACTTGCTATATATGAATATATATGCTTTTAACTTTTGTAATGAAGTAACACCAATTTACATGAAGAGCCATTGAAGTGAGAGCTGATGGCAGGTGACCACTAGGGAATATTTTAGAGCTCGTAGAAGGAACTAAGTTTCAAAATGCTAAGACTATTTTTTCCAGCCCTATTACTGCAAATCCATGTTTTCTTTCCTGTACTAAATACTAAGAAATGTGTAAAATGTTTCAAGGTTGAGGTGCTTCAGTCTTGGGACAATCTGCTGTTTCAACCTTGAAACATTTTAGTTTTTTAGTCCTTATCTGCATATTAGTGACAATGAACATAATGCCATTGTAAGCTACTGTGTGATACATTCTGTTTCTTTATATAACTGCATATTTTGACAGTTTATAATAAAAGTTGAACTCTATTATGTGCATATTGAAATGTAAGGAGAAATTTTGATTTAATTTCTAAATTTGAGCTGTTATATAAATGATTGTTATATTTTTTCTATGAGTTTGCTTGTTTAGGCTTTTTAATACTATAGTTATTATATTATATACAAATGTGTTCATTTTTGACCAGAATTGCAAAGTTATGTTCAATTAAATATAGAACAAATCCCCCGGAAAATTTAAATGCTATTTCCTGTGAAATTTCAAGAAATATATTTCATCCGTATACATCGTTTTAAATGTAGCATTTAAAACCTTTAGTTTGATAGACACGCATTTGAGATGGATATTATTTATTTATTACCATATTTATTTATTCACCATATACTAATGCTCAGTATTTTTCAGATGTTCGTTTGCTACTTAATAATGATAATCTTCTCAGGGAAGGAGCAGCACAGTAAGTATTAACCTCTTTATTCAATAACTATCTTTCATTGCATTAAGAAAGGATGACACTATTGAAAATTTCTTTTGAGACATATAGGTAGGCAAGGAAGAGGATAATATTTCTCATTGCCCTTTCAAAATTTTACCTGCTGAATTATAATAAATTTGGAATTAAACTTGTTTTAATAAATTATATTAAATTGTTAACTCTAGTTTGTTGAACAGTGTTGTGTATGAACAAAGTAGGAATGTGAAACTTTTGTCAGTTTCTTGTCAGTACAACTTTTTGCATCCAACCAAACCAGTGATTTTGTTGGATACAAAAAGAAAAAGGAAAATACAGACAGATTATGTATTCCTGCTTGCACATCACTCTAAGCACCTGAGTAAACCAGTATATGATTCATTGTACACTGCTAAAAACAGTATAGTTCATTTACTTATCCCATTCACACAACACATTCATCCAAAGACAAACAAGTCACATCATGACTTATCTAGAACAGCGGACCCCAACCCTTTGGGCACCAGGGACCGGTTCTGTGAAGAGAAGTTCTTCCACAGACCAGAGGGGGGTGTGGTTTTGTGTGCTGCCTGCATTCCGTGGTGATTAGAAATAAATATCTGAACTTTGTGCAGAAATTCATATTTGTTTGAGTACTTACTTTAATATGTAGCAAAATCTTATCTGATGTCTCTTTTATTTCTAGCGCATTTGCACAGTATAATTTGGATCAGTTTACTCCAGCTAAAATAGAAGGCTATGATGAACAGGTATCTTTGAAAATATTTAAGTTTGAAAATTATTATTTAGCATATAATAAGAATATAACAGAAGAGAGTTCAGCATACACACACAATGCACATAAGTATATACAAAACTTCTATGTGGGTATGGCAATGGTCTCATAGCTGGATGTCAAATTCAGCTGTCCAGGTGATTGTCTCCGGCATTGCTTCATGCAGATCATCTAGGGCAGGGGTTCCCAACCTGGGGTGCGAGACAATATTCCAGGGGGTGCGAGAAAATTCCAGGTAAATAATAGGATATTGGCTATATGTTGGCATTTTTATTTATTATTTATTTCAGGGGGTGTGAGGTTCGAGTGAAATTTCTTTAGGAGTGGGGGGCAAAAAAAAGGTTGGGAACCACTGATCTGGGGAATCAGAGAACGTATGTTGTGAGAAATCTTTTACAATATGCTTGTTTGTATATCACCATCACAATCGCAACAAGGGGACTCTTTTATCCCCACTCATGTAGGGCAGAGAGACTTCTTCCAGTATCACACCTAATTCTGTACAGTTTTATCCAAACAGAGTGAGGCAGGTCATAACCAGTTGGCTTGGTAGAAGCTAGGCCATAATAAGGTACCTTGGACCATTACTTTTTCCAGACATTAAATTGGGTAGATGTTAAGTGAATAGTTGTTTTCCATGTTGGCCTGCAGGATTTCAATTTTGTGATAGACTGCATAGTCCTGGTGAAGAGGGGGGCGGGGAGGCTTCTTGTTCAGCAACCTTAACCATAGCCAAACAAGAGCTTGTTGTCTTCTAATGTGAGGCAAAATTGAAATATCTTTTTATTAAGTGATAATGCAGATTATAGATCTCATTTTTGGTTAATTATGGAATATTCAGAGGTGTCTGAACAATCTAGTATGCAGCTGATTGGATAAATAAATGGTTTTGGTGCTGCAACATTAACTTCACAATGTTTGTCTTATAGTCCATTCTAATCTGATTTTATTAATTACCATTATTGAGAACCCTTTTTTCTCCAAATATTGGAACAGACACCATTATAGATACCGAACTTCAAAGAGTTGTATCTGCAGAGGATTGTGTCATTTAAATCAGGGGTGTCAAACTCAATTTCATTGAGGGCCGCGTTATGATTGTTTTTGACCTTGGAAGGTTGCGGGGGTGACAGCACTCTGCCTCCTGCAGCACTCTGCCAGCCAAAATGGGCCGTGGGGGTTAATTACAAAATGTGGACTTTGCTTTGTGGCATCCAGATCCAGCGAGCAAGGAGTGTGAACTGCACAAAAAATACACTTTGGTTTGGTTGTGAAGAAATATCCCCAAAGTCAAGATGTAGCCTAAATGTAGACTGACTTTTAGCTACACATCTTCCCAGAAACACAGCAAATTTTGAAGCTCCAGGTAAAGAGGATTTCATTTTAGGATGAGTAACAACAATTTGCATGTTGGAAAACTGTATTTTAATGAGGGAGGGGTGCAGAATAGCCCTTCTCTGCCTGAGGGTGTAGAGACCTGGCACCAATCAAAACTTGTGAAGCAACTGATCAGTACTGACAGGATAAGCCACTAGTATATGAATATAAAAGCAAACTCCACCCCCTTCTAGCACTGATGATGTTACCTAGTTTGGTAATGAAACATCTGCAAAAAAAACCCTTCAAGTTCAGAGAGCAACAAGGACCTCCTAGTTCAACCCTGAGCTATAATATCTTCTATCAATAAAGACTTTTTGGTTAGAGGGATTCAGAGCCTGCCTTATATGAGATGGCTTCAAGTGGATTTCATTCTAAATTTGGATACGATTTCTGTAAATAAGGAATGTAGAGTAATAATGGCTAAGTCTTTGATCCTTCATACATCATAAGAATACAAAGCTAAAGAATAAACAAAAAACAGATTTGGAAAAAGAAAAGGCTCATGAAAGAAAAAAAGAGAGAAAGTGGAAAAGAAGGAAAACTGAAAAAGAATGACTTCCAACTTTCTTTGGTACAGATATAAGTAAAAAATATATCAAAATCTTACTCTAACATTAACATTTGTCTACATTATTTCCATAATCCCATATCTAATCTTCAAACCCCCAGATCAGCTTTTAATTTGTTTCTCACAAAAAGTCCAGTAATAGTTCATATCGCTTTAATCATTATTTGTTAAGGAAATCACAACTGGTTTATTTAATTGCACCAACCTCTAAATAAAATAGGAATGGAAAATCCTAGTCTAGACCCATGCCTCTCAACATTGGCAACTTTAAGGTGCATGGATTTCAGTTCCCAGAAGTCTCCAGGCAGCATGACGTTCACCCATCTTAAACGTGCCAAGACTGAGAAACACTGATCTGGGAATTTTTCCATTCCTCTTTTACTGGTTCTTACTTACTTGTGAGCAATCATATTGCAAAATCCTAACTTAGAACCCTACCCCAGAGCCATCATAATGCAAAATCCTCCCTCCCAACCCACCCCAAGAACAAGCATGGTGCAAAATCCTCACCCCACTTCAGACCAATCGCAATTCCCTTCCTAATCTGCTTTCCACAACTTCTCGGGTGGGAAAAAGATCTTGTGAAGTTAGAAGGTGCGATTGAACTTTTTTTTTTTTTTTACTGGTAGTCCCAAAGTCTTCTTTTGTTTCCCTGCGTGCTGGAGGATGGACCTGGAAAGCAGCTTAGTGAGGGAATTGTGATTTTGCTGCAGGATTTTGCAGGAGGCCATCCAGGCCAAAAACAGGCCGCAAGGGCCCGCACCCAGGCCCCAGGGGCCCCATTTTCGTTACTAGAAGCACCGCAGGCCAGTCCTTTGCTATTTCAGGCTGGCCCCATGGCCCAGATCTAAGTACCCTGCAGGCTGGATCTGGCCCGTGGGCTTGAGTTTGACACCCCTGATTTAAATGGAGAGAAATGGAAAGGAAGGAAAGTTATCAGTGTTATATAATGTCATATAATACATTTAATCATCTATTTCTTTTGGTGGAAAAGCTCTATGAAAATAAATACTAATTGATGTTATGAGTTATTTTAATTTTCTATTCAATATATTTTTTATATGTGATGAATATTAAAAATCGTTAATGTACGTTATGATATCAGATGTGTATAAACAGTACTGTGATTAATTCAAAGAAGTAGAAATATTAACGTTGAAATGCCCCTTTTATAACTTTTTTGTAGGTATTAATAACAGAGCATGGTGATTTGGGCAATGGGAAATTTTTTGATCCAAAAAACAAGATTGCTTTTAAATTTGATCATTTACGAAAGGAGGCTACAGATCCAAAGCCTCACGATGTTGAAAATGCAATTGAGTCATGGCGAAACTCCATAGAAACAGCAATGAGAGCATATGTGAAGGAACACTATCCAAATGGTGTCTGCACAGTAAGTATCCCCAATCTGGAAAATGCTTGGATTAAAACTATTATTTAGGTTGCATAATTGAGATTTTTTCTGCTTTGATTCATGGGAGATCATGGATATTGCACAAATATAGCTATAATATAGTCATCTTGTTATGAAATGGCTGAAAATAGATATGGCAACTAGGAATGTTGATAACCAACAGCATTATCAATACTAAAGGAAGAAAACCACTAGCGACATTCTTTTTCAACAGTGCTCATTTTACAGTATACTCTCGGATGTTCTATTAGTATATGATTATAGAGATGAATGAAATGGAAAATGTTTTTGCACATTGTTGCTCATACATGGACCAAACCATTCTCGGGTGGGTTGTGGTGTAATCAAACCAAATCTGGAACATTTTTATTGTTCCAAGTTTTACTTGTGACCCACTTCACAATAATGTTAAAATAGAAGTACAGAAAGGTTGGTGCACTTGCTCTGCTTTTGTGTCTTGCTCCGGATGGCCCATCTGCCAGCCTGTCCACTGATTTTGTTACATACCTATCAGCTACCCTATCTATGTCCTTTCCAGTAAATTTACGTGTAGTTTTCGATTTAGTACCACAATTGATTTCAAAATTTCTGGAACTACACAAGACAGTTGAGTTATGCCCCATGATTTTTTCTGGTCTCAGTTGTTAAACAAATCATTGCAGTTCTTAAGTGAATCGTTTGGGTGTTATGTGAATCTGGCTTCCCCCATTGATTTTGCTTGCTGGAAGCTAGTTGGGAAGGTTACAAATGGTGACCACATGGCCCCAGGACAGTACAACTGTCATAAACACATGCCAGTTGCCAAGCACCCAAATTTTGACCACATGATTATGGGGATGCTACAACAATCATAAGGGTGAAAACTGGTCATAAGTCATGAATGGTTGAAGTTGATGACTATCTGTACTTGTCTCCCTTTGACTGCAACATATCACCATCTTTTATTTACTATCTTATCTCACTATGTAGAGAATGTTTTAAGCATCCCTAATAGGTAAAAATATTCAAAGAATTCAATAGAATGAATTCCACAGCTATTCTATTTTCAGTGTTTGATTCCTGAGGAAGGCCACTTATAAAACATGAGCATAACAGTACTCTATATCTACTAATACAAGTATTTAAAGATACATTGTGTTCACTGATTGAGATAATATGTAATCATAATCAAAAGCAAGGAGCTGTGTTTAGCCCTAATAGTAATTATGACTTTTACCCATATAACAAATATTTCATCATAATGCCAAATCGTAATGAGTAAAATCCAAAGTTATATTATTGCATTGTGTAATAGATGAATCCAGACATTCATAACTTAATATAGATGGATTTGTGTGATTCAATTTAGGCTACCATGTGCCAGGAAGTTCATGGGAAAAGTGCTTTCTTTGTTTTTCATTACAGAATAAAGAAAAGAACTATTCTCATTTTATCAGAAGCAATATTTAGCTGTGAATTCAATGAAAATGTATGATCCTCTATTCCCAAATTTGTTGTTTGGCATGTTATGATTTATTAGCCAATATTATTCTTTAGGTTATTCAGTATTTTGATGGATCCATAAATATACTGTATATTAGTAATATGTTGTTAATGAACACTAATGTCAGTGTCTGAAGGTGGTTTTGTATGATTACAGAGTGAGGAAGGTATCTAAAGTTTGAAGGCTAACATTTCCCCCTCCCCCCCCCCCCCAATTTGTGATTCAGGTATATGGAAAAACTATTGATGGACATCAAACAATTATTGTTTGCATTGAAAGTCATCAGTTTCAAGCAAAAAACTTTTGGTATGTATAAACTGTTTTATTTTGAAATAGATTCCAAAGAAAGTTTTATCGGCATTTTTATTTCAGCATGTTTAATTTTAAAATACATGTTCATCTTGTGTAATATCAGTTATTATAGATATATTTCAGTTGTGACAGACTAGTTTCCCTTCTGCTGACTCTCCTAAAAGTATCTGATAAAACATGTGGTAAAGATTCTTTAATCCTCCGGAGCAATTTTAGGGGACTGGCAGAGGCTTCAGTGAGAGATCAATATTATTAAATTGATCCAAGATTTTGAGCTATATTGTATAAACATTAATGTGAAATGTGTGTCTCTGTGTGCGAAATTTTATTACAAATATATACAAACTGTTTGTAAATAAAGTTTTACTACTTTTAATTTAAATACAGTGTAAAAAGTTGAAGATTAGAAAAATCTTTTGAAGAGCTAAAGCAGAAGTCCTTGAAATACATCATTTTTGTAGTGATAATTTTCAAGACATAGTTCTCTCTCTTTTCCTCCCCTCCCCTCTTCCCTGCCTCCCCCGTCTCCTTTTATGGATTTGTTTTTTTAAAGGAATGGTCGTTGGCGATCAGAATGGAAATTTACTATAACGCCTTCTACCACCCAGGTAGCAGGCATCTTAAAAATTCAGGTATGGCTACCCTAATTTTCCAAAATAATCTCAATAGCCTAATAGCATCCCATGCAAATCTGAAAGATAATGTATGCATATTTTTAAAGATTATTTTGCATTTTTCTATTGGATAAATGTATATGTAATCCTCAACATGACCACAATTGAGCCCCAATTTTTTGTTGCTAAGTGAGATTTGTAAAATGAGTTTTGCCTGATTTTATATCCTTTCTTGCCTCAATTGGTAAGTGAATCACTGCAGTTAGTAACTGGATTGTTAAGCTAACCTGGCTTCCCCATTGACTTTGCTTATCACATGACACTGGGACACTGCAGCTGTCATAAATTTGAACCAGTAGCTAAGCATCTGAATTTTGATCACATGATCATGGGGATGCTGCAAAGGTCGTAACTGTGAAAAACAGTCATAAGTCATTTTAAAAAAATATTTTTTGCCAGTAAGTACATGTCTGGTCACTGATATTTAGGTCTCTCTGAAAATTTCATTTTCCTGGGAGGAAATTGAGAGTAAATAATTGGTGGAAAATGAATCGTATCTCAATGTGCCAAAGATTATTTCTTATTTTGGAAGGCATAAAATATCACTAATATATGCTGCCAGTTTCTGTTTGTAATTATTTTACTGTGAACTTTCTATGCATAGGTTCATTATTATGAAGATGGAAATGTTCAGCTAGTGAGTCATAAAGATATACAAGATTCTCTAACAGTGACTGTAAGTATCTTTTCCTGTGCATCGGTATAGGAACATTACATATTTTTCATATTATATTTTATAGAAGTTGCCATTATTTTCTTTATATTAGTGAAAAGTTAGCATGCTAATAAAAATGAACATATGAGCAGCAAAAAGCAACCTGTCCTGCCTTTAGTTACTATTCCTGATGTGTGTAGGTGTGGCACATAATAAAATGTGTCACAAAGTAATTACATTACTTGTGTCTGATGTTGACGTATAAGTGTGACAATTACATTGTCACGTACATGAAACATTTTTGTCATTGTGACTTGCAAATTTACATGTATGTTTCCTTCAAAGGGAACCTTCACATACAAGTAGAAAAAGTACTTAGATCTCTTTCTACAGTTGACTTTATTAACAGAAATTGACAGAAGTAATGCTTTGATCTAGAAACGTGAACAGATTTTATATTCTGAATCATTTTGCCAAACTTTAGCACAGATTATTTCTAAGTAAAATTAATTGTAATGAACTATTTGAGACTTTTTAATATACAAGATTCCAAATTCATATTCTATTTCATTTTGAAAGCCTATTTTATTCAATAAAATTATTTTTATAAACAGCTGCTGTTTCAAAAATAAAAATAGAAACCGTATCTGTGGATTTGTGGTTCCTAACTGCTGAAAGTATGAAATGTAAACATTTTATAAATGAATTAATTTTGAAGAATTTAAACAAGTAGAATTGAAGCTTTTCATGTTAACTTTATTTTGAGGCAAAACAAAGCAATAAAAATTACTTCCATCAATTAAATCATTTAACTGTAAATGAACAGTCTTTTATTTGCTCTAGGCGGATAGCTATAAGAAAAGGAGGAAGTTAGTGAAATCTATACCTTTTGGAGCATTAAGTTTATGAGTTATGCCTGTGTGTTTTGTGTATGTGTGTGTGCGTGTGTCTGTTTGTCTGTCTTCAAGTAAGTGTTGATTCCTGATGATTGCTCCCGCAGTTTTCTTGGCAAGTTTTCTGAAGTGCTTTTGACACTTTCTCTGTGTGTGTGTGTGTGTGTGTGTGTGTGTGTGTGTGTATGTGTTATGTGCATGTTTGCACACACACATACACACATACAGAGTGCACAATTAGGCAAGTTTACTTTGGAAGATTAATTTTATTTTTGAACAACTACAATGCTTTTGGTCAATCCAAAATGTTAATAAACCTCAAACCTGAATATTTTAAGAAAGTAAAAGCAAAGTTTTGGCTTTCTTAGGAGAATAACTATCTGGGCATAATTATTGGGCAACTATTAGTGTCCAGAATTATTATGCAACTAAATGAAAAATGAAAATTTGCCCATCTCACTTGTTTATTTGCATCAGTTAAAGTGAGAATAATAAACAAACAACTAAATGTACAAATAGACATTACTGACATTGTAAAAAATAAATAAATCACTGACCAATATAACCACCCTTCTTTTCAATAACAGCCATACACCTTCCATTCATGGAATCTGTCAGTTTCTTGATCGGTTGATTATCATTTCTTTATTTGTTTGTTTGTTTTTTATTTATTTTGATTTGTCAATCGCTTACAAGATAATAGGTATAAGTATATACATAGTTATGAATACATGAAATGGGTACATATAAGAAAAATAAAAGAAACAATAGGACAGGGACAGTAGGCACGTTGGTGCATTTATGCACACCCCCTACAGACCTCTTAGGAAAGGGGTGAGTCAATAGTAGACAGTCTAAGGTTAAAGTTTTTGGGGTTTGGGGAAGAAACCACAGAGTCTGGTAGAGTATTCCAGACATTGACTACTCTGTTGCTGAAGTCGTATTTCCTGCAATTAAGTTTGGTGCAGTGAACCATGAATTTGTATCTATTGTGTGCTCTTGTGTTATGGTTGAAGCTGAAGGATAGCAGTATTGTCTGTGGTATTGAACAGCTTTACATCATCAGCGAAGAGAACGCAGTTGCTCTTAATATGATCACAGAGGTCATTTATGTAGAGTATGAAGAGAGTTGGTCCTAGAACACTGCCTTGGGGTACACCTCTATTGACAGGTACAGAATTTGATAGGACACTCCCAAGTTTGACCATTTGTTGTCTGTTTGACAGGAATGCTTCTATCCAGTTATGCATAAGATTTTAGTTTTAGGAGTAGTTTGTTGTGTACCACTGAATCAAAGGCTTTACAGAAGTCTGTTTAGATTGTATCTATTGCTTTGCCCTGAGCGAGTTGTGTAGTTTTTTGCAGTGTAAGAGTTGCAGATTACAGGGTAGTTTTTTTCAGAAACCAAATTGTTTATTAGAGAGTAGGTTGTTTGTCTCTAAGTGTAGGATAATGGATTGGTTAATAATTCATTCCATGACTTTACAGGTGATGCAGCATAAGGGGATTGGTCTGTAATTTTCAACTAGGCTGGGGTCTCCCTTTTTGAAGATGGGGATGACTATGGCTTGTGATCATAATTTTGGCTGGTCCTGAAAGGTTTTTCAAAGATCATGCTTGGAGGTTCTGCTTTGGCAGTGGGTAGCTTTTTTAAGAAGTATTCCATCCAGTCCAGTAGATAGAGATAGTTTTAGATTGCGCAGTGGTTTTTCAACAGTGTCTTCTGTAAAATCGATATGTATTAGATCATTGTAGTTGTCTGTGGTTCGACTAGGAAATACCATTTTTGGTCCATTTTACCTGAGGAAAAGAAGCTGCCTAATAATTACGCACACCTTGATATAGGGCCGTGGTGGTGAACCTATGGCACGCATGCTGGAAGTGGCACGCAGAGCCATTACTGCTGGCACGCGAGCCCACGTCCAGAAAAAGTTTACTGTGCATGCGCGCGTGCTGCCCACCCAGAAGGTGATTGTTGGGTATCTGGCACACATGCACAGTGGCACAGCATGGGGCAGGAGACGTGCACATGCGCAGAAGCACAATGGTATGCAGGGGAATCACACGTGCATGCGCCGAAGCGTGCAGCGTGGGTCATGCAGGTTGTGTGCACATGCGCAGTGAGGATGGGGCCCTGTGCACACTGCCTTCTGGGTGATGGCATTCAAGCACGAGCTCACAAGCATGAGCGCAATTATCAGCACGGGAGCCCAAAAAGGTTAGCCACCACTGGTGTTGATCTCCTTAGGCCACACCTTCCCTCATTAACATATATGCACATCACGTAATACACTTATATCATCTAAGTATTCAAGTTTATACAGCTTGGAGGTAGAAAATATGCATAAAATGATGATATGGCCAAAATGCTTGCTTAATAATTGTGCAGAGAGAGAGAGAGAGAATTTATGTGTGTATGTATATATGTGTGTGTGTGTGTGTTTTCTTAAGTTTTCGCGAGTATTTACATGTATTCAGCTTTGTTCGAGTATTTTCCCATGTCATTGTAGTTGTGCTTTTAAAGTTGTAGCAACGTTTCGGCAGAATCTCATCTGCCATCATCAGGCTTCTGTATTGTGTTCGTCTGTGAGTCAGACTTTCACAGCCATTTCAGTTTTAAATTTGGGGCTAGCCTACTGCTGTGCCAGAATGGTTTCTTCTTCATCCTGATTGGTTGGGAGTCTTGGTCTGTGTTTATTGGTCTTGGAGTTTGCTGTGTTCTGCTTGATTGGTGTTTCTAATATCTTCTGTCTGTTTCGTGGCTTTGTTTGTCGTGATTGGCTGGCAACATTGTTTCCTGTACTGGAGGCTTTTAGTGCGGCTTGGCTCCGAGTAAATGGATGGCTATCATGTATTAGGAAGCTAGGTTTCATCTGGGTGCCTGGTTGGGGTGTGTTTGAGCTGGAGGTATCGGGGGGAGGGGGATCTGTTTGTGCCCAGGTGTTTGCCTGGCTTGTGGTGTGGAAATTTTTTTGTTTGTGAATGCAGGCTTCCAAATAATTGACAGTCTGGTGGAATCATCTATTCTATTCATGCTTTCAAGTCTTTTTTCAATATCTATGGCTTCTCTGATAGCCACAGAATTATGGCACGCATGTGTGCATGTGCACAACTCAAGTTGTGAGTGGTGGACCAATGTGTATTGATCAACTTACGCAAGTTGAGCTGTGCATGTGTGAACACCAGCCAGCAGCTCGTGTGGCCTGGTTCCAAATAGGGCATGTGCCAGAAGTGGGCTGCATCCGGGGGTTGGGCACCCTGGTTTAAAGGTACTCCATGTGAAATACATTGCAGTCAGATAATTCTTGTAGAATATCCACTCATTCAGTGATTGTCCAAAGTTATAATGGCATTGGACAAGGGAACTTACAACCATTCCTTATAGTTGCGGCTGTCACAATGTCCCTATGGTCATGTAATCATGATTCAGGTACCTGGCAATTAGCTCACAATTATATAACCATGGGACATTGCAACCATGTGAGATTCACATAACAGTGATCCCTGGAACTGCCCAAACTATTGCCATAAATTGGTGCGTTACCTTGTTGCTGGTTCCAATTACCATTGTTAAGTGGAGATAACCTGGAGTCTATAACTATTACGATAAAGCTTGTTAATCTGAATGGGTAATAATAATATTTTGAGGCTTTTCTGCATTTCTTACATCATTCTCTAGATCAGGAGTGTCAAACTCATGTCATGGCAGCGTTACGTGACATATCAGGACTTTTCTCCCTTTTGCTAAACCGGGTGGGCATGATCAGCGCATGATGGATCCAAACCGTGGACTGGGAGTTTGACAGCCCTGCTCTAGATTTTATACTGATAAAAGTGTCACAATTTAACAAAATATCTACTCTCTCTTTAATTTGTGTACTATATTTGAAATATTTGATCTTAATAGTGATAGTTATCTATTTATGGTAGATTTAATTCAGAAATGTTTTCTTTTTTATAGAATGAAACCCAAACAGCAAAGGAATTTGTGAAGATTGTAGAGGCTGCAGAAAATGAATACCAGGTATCATGGAATTTTATAAGACTACTGCATATAATCCCAAATATTGTTCTGAATTTTACTGGGCAGCTTTTATCTGGTTCCTTTTATATTATATGTTCAAAATAAGATGAAAGGCTATTAAATTCAAGATGATTGCAATACATAGAATAAATTTACCAAGCATATACGTGACAGAAAAGTATAAGAATCAATGTGCAACCATTGAGGATGTGATCACAGAGAGATAACATTTGGCAGATCACTTATTTGCAATAACAGTATTGTGAACACTATTTCATCATATGGTAACAGATGACATGGCAGATAACCCTATTCAATCCAAACTCCAGTATTCTTTTTTTTTCTAATAAATTTTTATTATTTTCCACTAGTACAAATTTTAGTTATTTTTTCAACAGTATTGACATCCACATATATTATCTTATACTTTAACATCTATTTGTACCTATCTTAATCTATATTATCCTTGTTTATCATTAATCATAAATACATATTGCCTTTCTATTAGTTATTATACATCCTTAATATTGTCTTATTCTTTTAACATCTATTCATACCTATCCTTAATACATATTATCCTTGTTTATCATTAATCATTAATACATGTTACCTTTATATTACACTTATTATTGTACGTCTTTGATCCTTCTGTCCTATTATATCTTGTTTGTCACTTTCTTGAGAATTCTTATTTAATCATCTTTTCTAATAACTCTTTTTCTAGCCACATGTACCATCTATGCCAAACCGAGTAATATTCTGATTCTTCTTTCTCTCTCATTTTAAGTGTGAGCATGTCCATTTCAGCACAGTCTGCTATTTTTTGTATAATTACCTCTTCATTTGGGGTCCTCTGCTCTTTCCACATTTGCGCGTAAGCTATTCTGGCGACTGACAATATGTGCAAAATTAAATATTTTATCTTTTTGAATAAATCCCAAGTAGATAGATTTCTGGTTTGAATTCAGTTTGGCCTCTGATAATTTGTGTTCAGTTCCTAATTTTATTCCAATAGGTCCTGGCGTGAGGGCATAGCCACCACATGTGATAGTAGGTACCATCAGCTCGTTGGCATTTCCAACATTTTGGATTGGTGTTTGGATATATCTTGGCTAATCTTGTCGGGGCTAAGTGCCACCGATAGAACATTTTATATAAATTTTCCTTGTATGTTGCGGCCGTTGTTAATTTATAATTTAGATTCCATAATTTTTCCCACTCATCTAAATATATATTATAACTGAAATTCTACGCCCATGCTATCATTGTATTTTTTACTCTCTTCTTCCATTCTGAAATCTAGCAAGCTTTGGAGATAAATTTTTGCTCTGGTCCAATTAATATCTTATCCAATTGATTTTCTCCCATATCAAATTCAAATTCTTCTGAATCTGTTTCGTATCTGTTTTGAATTTGGAGATATGGCCACCAATCAATTGTAATTCCTTGTTCTTTTAATTCTTGATTTGATTTTAGTCTCCCTTGGGCATCTAATAAATCCTTGTATTTTATCGTTTTACCTAAATCTAGTCTGTTTGGATGTATCATGACCTCCCTGGTTGACAACCAGCGCGGTATTCTTGTGTAGTATTTTTTTATTTTTCTCCATCTTTGTAGTAACGAATCTCTTATTTGATGTCTATTAAAATAAGCTTGTGTTTTGCCCTTTTTCTCCCATAGACACGCATGCCAGCCTTCATGGAAGTCATGACCTTCTATCTTTAATATTCGTTTATCACTTAGTTTAACCCAATCCTTAATCCAATTCAGTATCGCTGCTTGGTAATTTAGTTCCCAGTCCAGTAGCCCAAAACCACCTCTGCTTTTACTGTCTTGCATCAATTTTAATTTGATGCGTGGTTTCCTACCCAGCCAGATGAATTTTGTTATTTTATTTAATTCATTAAAGAAGATTTTCCCTACTTTTATTGGGATCATCTGAAACAAATACATTAATTTAGGTAGGGTATTCAATATTTTCAATATTGCTACTCTGCCGAGTATTGATAATTGTAGTTTCACCCATGTTTCTAATCTTTCCTAATTTGTCCGATTAATTTGGTGTAATTATCTTCTTTTAGTGATGAGCATCTGGCAGATAGCCATATTTCTAAATATTTTTTTCCCCTCTCTGGTCTCAATTTATTTTGTATTTCTATTTTTTGATTTGCTGTGCAGTTTTTGATTATCAATTTGGTTTTATTTTTATTTTTAATCCTGCCACTTCCCCAATTTTTTCTATCTCTTGTAATAATATTGCTCTACTATCATTAGATCTTCTACAATGAATACAAGGTCATCAGCAAAGGCCTGGACCTTGTATTCTTCATTTTTAATTTATATACCTTTTATTCCTGAGTTTCATCTGACTGTGGTAAAGAAGTACCTCTAATGGTAGGATAAAAAGCAGAGGTGATAGTGGGCACCCGTGTCTCACTCCTTTGCCTATCTCGAAATTGTCCGTACGTTTGCCATTCATTAATATACTTGCTATTTGGGTAGAATATATAGCTTGTAATGTTCTTACTATATTAGTTCTGAAATTCATTCTCGTTATTTGTTTTAGCATGAATTCCCAATTAAGGTTGTCGAAAGCTTTTTTGTGCATCTAGGAAAATCAGTGTTGCCTGTTTTTCTGGATGTTCTTCGTAGTATTCTATTGAATTCAAAATATTATTATTTTTAATTTATCTGTTTGGTAAAAAGTCATTCTGATTGGAATAGATAATTTCACTTAGGATTGTTTCAGTCTTTCTGCCATAATTGTCATAAATATTTTGTAGCCTGTATTCAGTAAGGAGATTGGTGTATAATTTGAAATTTCTTGTTGATTGGTACCCTCCTTCAGAATTAGGGTGACATATGTCTCAGACCAGTACTTTGGTAATTTTGCTTTTAGTAATGGCTCATTGTAGATCTCTAATAATATTAATTCAAATGTTTCATACATCTTGTTGTATATTTCACTAGGGAACCCATCTGGTCCCGGACTTTGGTGTTTTTCTGTTTTCCTATTGCTCTTTTAAGCTCCGTTGGTGTTATTTCTCCGTTTATTATTTCTTTTTGTTCTTCTGAAATTGAATTTAAACTGTTTTCTTCTAAATATTGTATTATCTTTTCTTCTTCACCAAAATAACTTAACGTGATGTGTGTTTTTTTCCTTCATTTGGCAACAGATATTTCCTTCTTTGTCTTTCAGTTGTTGGATTAGTTTTTTTCCTTTTCTACTTTTAGTTTATGAGCTAGCCATCATCAGGTCCTCTTTTATGATAACACCCAGAAACTTAAAATTGGCCACTTGATCCACCCAGTCTCCATTGATAAGCAAGGGCTGGATATCTGATCTATTCCTTCTATAGTCCACTATAAGCTCCTTAGTTTTATTGGTGTTAAGGACCAAGTTATTGTCTCTATACTACAAAAGCAACCAGTCCACCTCATCTTTATAGGCAGACGCATCCCCCCGAAGATGTGTCCTTCCACTGTTGTATCATCTGCAAATTTAGTAATATTACTAGCACGAGTGGGAATTCAGTCATGCACATAAAGAGTACAGAGTAAGGGACTCAACACACAACCCTGTGGTGTACCAGTGTTAAGAATAAGGATTGAAGAGATATGATTACCTACTCTGACCCTCTGAGAGCAGCCAGACAGGAAATCCATATTCCAAAGGCAGATTGTATAAGAAAGTCCAAGATCCAATGTAAAAGCATTCTTGATACTTGACCTTACAAAATTAGAATAAATTATATTTATAATTATAAGATATAAACTATAATTTTTCCTCAGTGAGGCAATATATTTAACTCTATTATTGTTAAAATGTGCTATGGTTTGATTTACGGTATATTATGTTTTTATTTAATCTTAGAATATCAAGTTTATCTAATAAAGATATGGAATAAAGTTTTAGAACATAATGATAAAGTATGCCGTTGGAAATGTGTTGCTCTATATCAACAAATTGTCATTCTTTAAGAAATGTTTTCTTTTTTGTTACAGACTGCTATCAGTGAAAATTATCAAACAATGTCGGACACTACTTTCAAGGCTTTGCGCCGACAACTGCCAGTTACTCGCACAAAGATTGACTGGAATAAGATACTGAGCTATAAGATTGGCAAGGAAATGCAGAATGCTTAAAATGAATGTGGCAAATATGAATAATTTCGTTCTTCTGTACAAAATAAAGTTATTGCAAAGGTATTCAAAATTGTGATGTATCACCTTGGCCATTTGCCATTGAAATAACTGTAAGTTTGGTTAGAACACAAGACTTAGGTAACTTTTTTTATTTGACCATTTGTTTCTCCTTTACAAAGTTATAAAAAAAATCAGTGTAGCTAAAATGTTGAGAGCTTCTGATATATTTAGATTTTTATAATGATATGCCTATAGTTTTCAGTTAAATTAAACAGTTTGAAAAAAAATATTTTTGCATAAGATTATCCCATGTTGCTTGCTTTCATGCAAAAGGCAGCTTACCAAACACAATTCCTTTGAAAAGATTTGTTTCTGGACAACATGGATTTTAACCATGTGTATTGCAGAAATATTCTGCCCCTCCACAGTTTGAAAGCTGGAGAAAAGCTTTTCTATATCCAATCCTATTCAGTTGTTTAAATAGCTTGATGTTAACTTTTTTTTTTAAGCCAAGATCTAATTTTAAGAAGTTGAAATTAAACATTAGTGCTTACGTTCAAAATGCATTTAATGTTCCATTTGACAGAACCTCAGATGAGTTGGGATTTTATCAGTCATCAAGTTATTTTTATCATGCAGCCATAATTGTATTATAGCAAGGCATATTGTTATATATATGTAATCCTATACTCATTGTGTGTCTGTCAGTTTTTTCTTCAATTGAAATGTACTAAAAATCAGTGTGAATTAAACATGCAAATTTTCTATTTAGTTATGATTATCATTTCAAATATATATCTTGCAACAAGTTTAAGAAGGAATCAACTTATTAAACATAAAAAGAAACAGGAGCCCATATTAAAATAATAATAAAATAATGAAGGCAGAGGTAAGGAGGGAAATAAATGTGTGTGGGGGAATTGCAGTGGAGGCAGTCTCTTCTTCCAAAAATGGCTTGAATCTAGGTCACATGTTTTGTTTAATGACCATATCACTTAGCAACAGAATTGCCAGTCTCAATTAAGGTTGTTATAGACTTTGTAAATTGATTCAAGCTCATAATGTTGCTGAAGGAGAATATTAAAAGTTTCAATTTCATGTTTGCAATTATGGAAGTAAAGTAACAAAGGAAAGGAAAGGATGAGAAAATGTAATAAATCACAGTATAATGGTGAGATAATCCAACTTGTTTTGCTTACTATCATCATCATAATTATTTAGGTTCTGCTATTTTTATTTGAACTATCAGAAGACTATCAGAAAATCAGCTTTCTCCAGAGTCTGCTATTCTGCCACATATTTGTTTCTCCAGAATATTGGTTCCTTTTTTCATTTCATTTTTATATTGCATATTAGTCTTTAGACTACATTAGACTACTTAGGAAGCAAGATACAATAATAGGATTTACTGGGCACTCCCTTCATGATCCAGGCACATTTCTGTATTACAATGTATACAATGTATAGTTTTATTTCCATACCACATTAGGTACAAGGTGAAAATCTAGCAAGAGATTAGATTTAAATATATGATTCCGATTAAGCTATATTTTCTAATTATCACATAACATCCCTCAAATGTTGATATATATTGTATAGTTTTGCAGATTTGGTAAAATAAAACACAGAATAAAAATAGTGGGTAGAGGATGGCTTATACATTAGGTTCAATAAATTACTTATTGATTATTGATCATACATGTAACACTTAATTATATCTAGTTACATTCTTTGATGATACTATATCCAGTATGGTTAATAGACCTCAAATTTAGATGGAAAATGTACAGACATAGTATGAGAAAACTTAGTTCTTCGGTGCGAATGTCAGTTATATAAGGAGAGGAGGCCGGTACTCCCATTAGGAAAATCCTTAATTAAATAGTTAAGTAAAATTTCTGAAGCAAACTAAAAGCAGGAAGTTGTATTTGAAAAAAAATTTAAGTGGTGCATGGTATTCTTTTTTTTGTACAATTCTATTTTACAGAACAATATTTCACATCATTAGAATTGTAATAAATAATGAAATTTCCTAAAATAAAGATATAAATTATCCTATTGTATTATCCTTAAAATATTGTGTTAATATGTAAAATATTCAAGTTTCAAAAGTAGATGCTGTTCAATATATCTATCCTGAGATGAAAAACAACAACACACAACATGCGGAGAATGTCTGTCCCGTAAATTTATAGTTTATTTGCCAGGTGGGCATAGAATGCTGCTTGCTTTTGCTGTTGTCTCCATAGGTGGTATTGAAAAATCAAGAGGTGTTACATCATGGATAATGCCATTCTCTTTCTCTTCTTAAAAATATTCTTAGTAGGATTTAATTATTCTAAAAAGCATATTAATGCTTTAGCTACTATTTAATTACTATTTGCCACTGCAATAGTGTGTAATTAGTAAATACCACACAATATATATATGCCACCCAATGCTGAACAATTCTGAACCTTTCACAAAAAACATTAAAACTATAAACTTTAATTTGGACCCTGTATTGAACACTGGACTTTGTGGTTTAAATAGGCTAAATCCAACTCTTAGGTTTCTGGAAACGGGGTGAGTTTCTTTGTTGAGATGGTTCCTTCATCAGCTTCTATGGGACAAAAACTATACTAGTAATCTTCAACTTACAACCATTTGTTTAGCTATTAAAGTAACAGCAGTACTGAAAAAAGTGACTTTTGACTAGTCACCCACTTAAAATAATCACAGAGCCCACCCCCCCACCCCCACCCCAGTCAAAGGATCAAAATTTGGTAATCAGCATGTATTTACAATTTACAACATGTACTTACTATTTGCAACCTTCACAACAGGCTTTAGATAAAGTCAGCGGGGGAAACTGGATCTGCTTAACAACTACATAGTTCACTTAAGAACAGCAGCAAAAACTGTGTACGTTTCAAAATAGTTTACCACTGGTTCGGGGGGCGTGGATTAATGGGCAGACTTTGCGCAGGCGCGTGCCAAACACACAGTTTGTGCACGCGCAGAGGCTTCCTGACTCACCTCATGCAATCCTGCAATCTCCCTGCTACTTCAGCAGCTGACACCTGGCAGGCAATCTGCTGTGCCGCGCAAACAGCTGCACCTCAAAAGCAGGGAATAAAAGGTCAGTAGGGGAGCCCAGGCGGGTGGGTGGGCCCAACAGCAGCTCCGAGAAAACCGGTTCAGTCTTGGCTGATTTTCGGCGCTACCGGTACGCCAGAACCGGTCGAATACCACCATTGAGCAAAAAGATCATAAAATCAGCCTTGCTCAGTGACAAAAGTTCCTGCTTAATTGTGGCTGTAAATTGAGTTGCAGGAGGCGATAGAAAGCATTTTCCCTCCTCCCATTTATTGAAAAGAGCTATTGGGATTTTTCTTTCCCAGGAACATTTCCCATTGGAAACAATAATGTTATATTATTTCATTTTAAGGAATAGTATAACAGCTATTTTATTTTAGGAGTCATGATACTCTGGTGACAAATCAGGGTTATTTAAATACGAAATTGGTTAAAAATGATACAACCAGGCTCCTAACTGGCTCCCAATGATATCCCTTATTCCTTTGTCTAACTTTTTCATTGCAAATCTATAAATACAAAAATTGGAAATGACCCTGGAGGCCTTGCAGATCAGGCCCCTTCCCAAGTGAGATGCTATCCTATTCTGGACAACTGGATGTCCAATGTCTTCTTAAAAACCTCCAATGAAGGAGCACCCACAACTTCTGGAGGCAAACTCTTCCGTTGATTAAAGATAGGAATTTTGTCAGACTTGCCCTAATTTTATCCCTTAGGAGGGAAAGATCCTTGACTCCATTAAGGTTCTTTTACTAAAGGTGCTGGTTGCAGTAAAGTCAAACCAGCTTGGAAAGGCACAAAAATGTTAGCCCACAGCCTATCCCTCCCCCCATTCCGCCCCGGGACCGACCCATTTCCATGCAAATGGAGCTTGCCAAAATGTTTTGAGAATGCTGAGATGTTCGGGTAGTCCGCATATTTTCTCAGGTTGCCTGGCCTTGGGATACTGGTACAGGCTCGATCCAGCTGCTCTGGTCTTTATCACCTGTCATTCTCCACCACCCCCCTCCAGATTTCCCATCACGTACACACATAGGTTTATGGTCCTTCTATTCCCCCCCCCCTTTCCAGTTTTTGATGGCAGGATACTTGTGTGGTGGCCGAGCTAAGCCAAGTAGAACTGACATTCTGCCCCCCCTTGACAAGCAGAGGGGAGGGAGAGACAAAGATTCTCTTTACTTTATTGTCATTGCGCCTCGTACAACGAAATCAAACACCATCTTCAGTGCACATCATGACCACGAGCATGAAAATAACACACAAAACACACATCCTTCACCCTTCACACATTGAACCGGAAACCCCCGACACCACACCAACACCGCACTATACGGCAGAATTCAACAGAGCTACTGCCCTGGGATAGAAGCTGTTTTTCAGCCTATTTGTCCTTGTTTTTATTATTCTGTACCGTCTGCCAGATGATAATAGTTCAAAAAAAGGGGGTTCCCAGGATGAGATGGATCTTTGAGAATGTTTTGAACTTTCTTAAGGCAGTGGGAGTTATAAAGCTCTTCCAAAGAGGGGAGAGGGCAACCAAGGATCTTCTGAGCAATGACGTTAACCCTCTGGAGCGCTTTCCTATCTGCCCCTGTGCAACTGGCAAACCATACAGAGGTGCAGTAAGTTAAGATACTCTCTATGGTGCAGCGGTAGGTCACCAGCAGTTTCTCATCCAGTAGTTATTTTCTGAGAAGCGTCACAAAGTATAATCTCTGCTGGGCTCTTTTGACCAGAGCTACAATGTGGGCACCCCAGGTCAGGTCTTCTTTTAGGGTAACACCCAGAAACTTAAAACTGGCCACTTGCTCCATTCGGTCTCCATTGATAAACAAGGGCTGGATGTCTGATCTGTTCCTTCTATAATCCACTATAAGCTCCTTGGGTCTTCTTGGTGTTGAGGACCAAGTTGTTGTCTCCACACCACAAAAGCAACCGGTCCCCTCATCTCAGTGGCAGACCCCCCCAGATAAGTCCCACCACTGTTGTATCATCTGCAAATATCGCAATAGTATTCCTAACGTGAGTAGAAATGCAGTCACGGACATAAAGAGTATAGAATAAGGGACTCAACACACAACCCTGTTAGCAAATGGCTCAATGGGATTTATCTGGCTGTTGATCATGCAATTTTTTCAGCAATTGGGGGGCTTTGATATGTTGGGAGTCGAGTCAACCCATTCAGTCTCTGAGGGAGTCCTAGGTTACCAAACACTGGGTTTTCTCCCAATGTATGTGTGAGTCCAAGATCAAAGTGCTGCTCTCCCTCAAATCACAAACGGGTTTGGGAGGTGGTTTGTCATTCAGGATGGAAAGAGGATGCAGTTTCGGCTTCAACAGGTTGCAATGAAATCCTAGTAGACACACCTGAGGGTTTTTTGGCCCCTGCAAGTTCTATAATCACTAGGTGAATTCTTTTATTGGGGAGAGGGCTGAACGTATTTCAGCTCCATTTTTTGGGGGGGGGGGGATGGTTCCCTAGCTTGTAAGAATTTCCTAAATAGACTCCGTCTCCCACTTTAAAAGGCTAAATGTTCTTTTTTTATTGGCCTGTGGTTTGCACGCTTGCTTCCTCAGCTCCGTCCCAAATTTTCTTTCCTGACGAAATGGGGACGGGTAAGGGAGAGAAACCAGGCTGCCGTCGAAAACGGAAAGGGGGGAGAGAAAAAAACGCAACTAAAACGAGAAAATAT